ACCTGGTGCCACCATGCTAAGGGATGGGAGATGAACGTGACCCCATATGGGAAGGAAGGAGTTGGCTCTGATGGAGGGGGACAGCTGCTGGGCTGGGTGGCCAGCAGCACCCTGTGGCCTCATGCAGTGTGACTGAAGATGATACCCATGTCCCTGCTCAGCTGAGGGTGTGCTGTCAGAGGCTCATCCTGGTGCCCTGGGAGCTACCCAGGCCTGAGCTGGCTAGTGGGCCTGCATGTCCCACATGGTGCCACCACCTCTCAGGCTCCTGGAGCTCCCAGGACAGCATGGTGACCAGGATGCCTGCTTGGTACAGCTGGTGAGGCCAGGCAGAGTCCAGCGTGTGATTTGAGTGAAGTGTAGAGGACGTGGGGCTGTCCCCAGAGCTTGTCCCCTGAGCCCATGAGAGTCACTGCTGGCAGCTGGAAGCCCCTGCTGCTCTCGGGGTGGGTAGGGGCTCTGTCCCAGGGGCAGCTGTCTGGCTGCCCAGGAGGACACATTTGCCTGCTAAAAGGGGAGTTGGCGGTTATGGCTTTGACAGTCGAGGGTCCCCTGGTCCCCCCAGACTTTAGGGACTGGGAGAGGCTGGAGGCCCGGTGGTGACCCCTGCTCTGCCTCTGTGACTCTATGGGCACTGGGAGGCTGCTGTGCTGACTCTGTTAGTGCTGGGTTTCATGTTTGGGAAAAAGGATTTCCAGTGCCCATGGGACACATAAGGCAGTGCCACTGGCAGACCGTGCAGAAGAAGAGGGGCTATCAGGGGTCTTTCCAGGGAGATCTTGGCCTCTGTCCAAATCCAGGTGGTGCCAGGAGATCTGCGGCCCCCGATTGTAGCTTGTCTCAGCTGCTGTGCTTTTCAAGGGGCTGTGAACCCCGAGACTGTTCCAGAACTTCAGTGTGGGATGTTCTAGAAGCATCTTCCTGATGACGTACTCCAGGAAATGGGTGTGAACTCCAGGTTCAAGGCCTGGGCACATAGTCGGCTGGACATTAGGTAGGCATCGATGTGCCAAGGGACATGGGCTGAGGGTGGCAGAGGGGTTGAGTCCAGGTCTGGAACACTAGGGGCAGCAAAGGGCTTGAAGAGGGAGGTGCCTCACCCTCACTGGCTGGGCTGTCAGTGGCCAGGTGCCAGGCTGCCACATGGATGCCATGCACGCAGGCCTTGCACTGGGTGCCTGGCAGCCCTTTCCCAGGCCCAGCAGCTGCCAGTGATGCTTTTCTGAGGGAGGGCGCGGTTGGGTGAAGTAGATTTATTTTTAAAAATCTGAAAGATTTTATTAATGAAAAAATAAAGCAACCTTGTAAAAATTTAACAACCAGAAGTGCAGGAAGTGGGAAGCCAGTAGTGCTGGGGGTATCTTTTTACCCATTTTCCTAAGGGCATAAACATGGATAGCATTTCTGTTGCCCTCTCCACATCCAAGTGCAAGCTGCTTCCTGGAGCTGCATGGCACCCGGGAGGACCTCCCTTGCCCCTCATCTGTGACATCTCTCTGGTGTGGACGCGGCATTCTGAGTCCAGCCAGGTTTTTGCACATCGTGTGGTGGTGAACACAAGCCTGGTGTGAGCACAAGCGTAACTTGAGGTTGTTCTGACAGTAAACGCCCAGAAGGAATTGACTGGGGCCAAGGGCTTGTGCATTTTATATTCCGATGACCCTGGTCACACAGCCTGGGGAGTCTGTACTGCCTTAGACCTGACCGGTGCGTGAGTGCCTCCATGCCTGCACCATCCCTGGGGCTAGTCTTTTCACCTTTTCTGCTCCTCCAGGTGTAAACAGATGCCTTCCTTTTTGATGAGCATGTCTCTCTTTCTGCACAGTGAAGTCTTTGTCAGTTTCTAGGCCTTTCCTGCTGCTTCTATAAATTCCCAATCTCCTTTTTCAGTCGGATTAGTTATCTTTTATTAGCTCACATTTCTCTTTATACGTTGTGGTTGTTCGACTTTTTGCAGGGTTTTTTTGTTGTTGTTATCTTGAACTTTTCTTCACACTCAGTGCTATCTTTTACCGTATATTTGTTTTTCTTGTTGTGGAAAGTTGATTGGTCTTTTTTATTTATGCCTCTCTGTGTGCCCTTTGACAACTTGGGCTTTATTTATTTATTTATTTATTTATTTTGCTTTTTTGCTTTTTTTGCTGTACTGGAGATTGAACTTAGGGCTTTTGCACTGAGCTACATCCCCAACCCTTTTTATATTTTGAGACAGGATCTTGCTGAGTCATTAAGTTACTCAGGCTGGGCTGGAACTTGCAGTCTGCCTGTTTCAGCCTCCCAGAGTGCTGGGATTACAGGCTTGTGCCATCACACCCGACTTTACTTCTTTAAACCTCCAGTTTCTGTTCTTTAACCATGAGGGATAGTAGCCCTGTCCTCATAGGTCATATGAGGATTAAATGACAGAATGAGGTACAGCTGCAAGCGCCTGGCTCAGCCTGTGGCCATGGCTTCTTCCTGGGAGCCGTTGCAGTCTGTTGGACGCACACTTAGCTTAGTTCTTCCCGGCAGGTTGAAGCAACTGGCGTGGTCAAGGGGCAGGATGGCCGGAGCCCCCGCCTCCCCATATCCTCCCGCTCAAGAGGACTCTCCCTGGGAAGCAGAGCCAAGCTCATCCTGCCTCCTGCCCCCCAGGCCAGGCCCTTTCATCTCCCAGGTGGTATCTGGCACAGTGGGGTGGCTGGGAGCAGGTCCTGAGCAGCAGCACAGGCTCTGCTGTCTCCACTGTCTGCTTACTCCACACCATGGGCAGGCTGGATTCCTGAGTGCCGACCGCTCCCAGGGGCCCAGGTCTGAGCCTGCTGGATTCTCAGGTCCTGTCTGCCATTGCTGAATGAGACCTGTCTGTCCAAGGGCACTTTTCAGATCTGGGAGTATTGGCACAAACTTGATGCGTTGAACATGCTTGATCTGAAAGTCCAGAGTCCAAAACTCTCTAAACCCTGAAACTTTCAGAGCACTGACCTCACACTCAAAAGGTTTCGGATTTTGGAGCAATTTCTGATTTTTGGACTTTCGCATTAATGATGCTTCACCAGTACTGCCTCTTAGGGAGCATGCACTCTTTAAAACATGCCTTGTCCTGACTTTGGCCCATGTCGTTAAATATTTGAAGTTATAGGAACAGAGGATCATGGGGTGTTATCCTGGGGTTCAGATGTCACTTGTCTGGTGACCACAGACTCGTCACCCAACATCTGGGAACCCTGGTTTTCTCACACAATGGAAGGGATGGTGCCATCTGTTGCACAGGTGTTTGCAAAGCCCGGAGCTCAGGAACCTTCATCACTGGTGATCTCCATCACCCACGCCAATAAAATAGCCCATTTGCTATGGGAAAGAATTCTTTTTTTTAATTTTTTAAAGATGGGATTTTAATGGTGACTTCAGAATACTGGTGGGGTTTTTTTTCGTACTGGGGATTGAACTTGGGTCCTTCGGCTTGCAGGCAGTGAAACCACTGAGCTAAATCCCCGGCCCCAAAAATGACGTAGTTTTTTTTACCGGGGATCGAACTCGGGTCCTTGCACTTGCGAGACAGGTGGCAGAACCACTGAGCTAAATCCCCGGCCTACGGGAAAGAATTCTAAGTAATTGGTTAAAAATGTGCTGTTCTTCCTCTGGTTCTTCAGAAGAAGGTGAGTCACAAATCACTGTGATCCCAGAGGCCTCCTCTGCTACTCCCAGGTTTTTCCTTAACTTCTCAAGCCCGAGAAGCCCATGGCTCTGCTAGAGGGGATTCAAACATCTTTAGAAATTCTGCCTCGGAAGTTTTGTGTTCATGGAAAGATGCGTTTAGTTATTTCTCATCCAGTGTGTTTAAATATCAGAGGGTGTGATGTTTGATTTTAAAAATAACATTTCAGTTTTACCGTTGGAGGAGCCTTAATAGGATTTTTCAAATACTCGACACCTGAGCAAACAGTGCCTGCAGGGCCGGGCTGCCGTGTAGCAGGGTCCTTGTGCTAATGGTGACATGATGTGACTTAGACAGCCAGCTTCGAGCTGCCAGTCCGATTTCCACTCACTTCCCGAAGCCAGGGCGTGGGAACACATGGATGAGTATCATTGTGACTGCACTTGCAAGTCCCCAAGTGCCCGGAACGTAGGCCAGATAGTTGTTATAAAGTACACTTTAAGAAAAATAACACTAGACAAAAGGCCTCCTGAGTCATTGTTGTAAACACCCCAGAAGATCAAAAAACGCAGGTGTGGGCCAGCGCAGGCCTCTGTTGTTTTGTGACAAGTTATAGGTGTCATTTACGCCCCTTTGGAAGCCCTGAAGCCCACGTCATTTTGCTAGTGGCCTTTATGTGCCCTCTCCCTTTCAGCCTGCCCAGGTCATCTGAATAAGCTCAGAAGCGCTGTCATTGTCCCCTGGTTACCCATCAACCATCCGCTGCTTGCAACAGGCTGCCAGTCTCCATGGTTACCGCCACCACTGTAAATGTAATCTGGGGCCCTGGGGAAGGGGGCTGTCAGCAGCTGTGTATAAAAGGTCATCTCCTGCTGGGAAGACAGGGGCAGGGGCAGTGGGAGAGGTCGCTGCTGAGCCTTGGGCCAGGCCTCTGGTAGATGGAGGCTTGCTGGGGTGACCATAATCACTCCCCAGGCCCCTGGCCTGTTTGGAAGAGAGGAAGAGGCACAGTTTTGGGTTTTCCGAGGGGAGGATTGCCAGCTGGTGGGGAAGGGTATCAAGCCCTGCGGGTTGGGAGGGTCTAGAAGGAGCTGGCCTGGGCGGGCACCTGGCAGGGCTGTTGGCACCTGGCTTTGGGGTTGTCAGAGGTGAAAGCAGAGGCTGCTGGGAGCGGACCAGGAAGCAGGCGACAGTGCAACAATCAGTGACAAATGTTCTTTGTGGTTCAGGGATCGGTGGAGGTTTAGCTTGTGTCCCATTGGTTGGTAACAAAGTGGTGACTGTCCTCGAGACAAAGGTCCTGGGTACAGGTGGGTACTTATACCAAGGCTGTTTGGAAATAACTCTGTAGGGGTGGGTTTCCCCAGTCAGTGGCTGTATTGAGTTTAAGGTTGGATCCGATTACTAGTGTCTTCTAAAAATGATGCACTCACTGACGCTCTTGCCGTGGGCAAGTAAGTTTATTACTCTGTGTTTTCTTTGCTATCATTGTCTGAAATTGTTGCCAATCAGGTGGGTAAAAAGTAGCCGTTTCTTTACTCTTTACCTAGTTCCCATTCGTTGGGTTGTGGCTTCCTCTCTGAGGCTTTTTGGCCATTCCCTTCTTCTGGGGTCAGCCTGCTTCCATTCTGCCTCATTTTCCTTGGTAGTTTCTCGTTTGGAGTTGAGCTTTCCTGAACCTTGGCGTGCCAACCTCTCTCCTGTCTTACTTTAATGTCTTTATAGCCCCATCTCCCTGTTGTGTGCCACTCTTTATTAATTTAACGGTGATGATGTGAGGCAAAGCTTCAGTTTACCCACTTGTCTTAGTCTCTTTTATTTGAAGTTTTCCTGCCCCCACCCCAAATGACACCTTTATCACAAACTGCATTCCACAGCTACATAAGAGAAGACACGCCTCCCTCTTTGCCCCGTCCCGCACCACCATACTCTGAATGAATTATTGTTACACTCTAGCACATTCTGAAAGCTCTTGGTACTCTTTGCCATCGACCCCTTGGGCTGTTCTGGTGGCCATCCTCTCCCGTGTGATAATAATTCTGTATAATGAATACATTATAAAGATAAGTTGAATTCCGACACGAAATCGCATAGGAATTGTGTTAAGAATGATATTGCGTTAATGGATTACTTTGTGTAGGGAGTTAAGCAGTGCCCCGCCCCAGTAGGTCTCCCTGGAAACTGTAAATGTGATCTTATTTGGAAAAAGGGTCTTTGCAGATACATTGAAAGTAAGGATCTGGGGATGAGATCAGCCCGGGTTAGAGTGGGCTGTAAACCCAATAGCTAGTTCTTTTAAGAGAAGAGCTAAGGCGAAGGCATTGAGAGACAGAGTAGAGGACGGAATGTTTGAAGACGGGCTGAGATTAGGGTGATGAACCCCTAAATGAATGGTGCCGAGGGTTGCCAGCCACCCCCAGAATCAGGGAGAGATTCTCACTCAGTCTCTGAAATGAAGCAGCCCTGCCAACACCTTGATTTTGGATTTTTAACTTCTCTACAACTTGAGCGTAACTGCTTACTGCTTTAACTCTTCCAGTTTCTGGTGACTTGTCATAGCAGTCACAAAAAACATTTTAATATACTTTGAGAAGAAATGACATCTTGGGACAGGGATTTAACTCAGTGGTTCTGCCGCTTGCCTCACAAGCACAAGGACCCAAGTTCAATCCCCGGTACCAAAAAAAAAAAAAGAAAAGAAAAAGAAGAAAGAAATGACATCTCTGCAAAGGTATCACATTGTTTTTCTGTTCAGAGGCAGGGTCTGTTTCTTCTTAATGTCATCTTTTATGTACTTTAATAAAATTAATCATGCTCTCCAGATCTAGATTTCATTTGAAGCTCATTTCTAGGAATTTTATGGGTTTTACTGCTGTTGTAGAAGGATTCTTTGTGCTGTTGTTGGTTTTATTACCCCACATTACATTTTCCAGCCAGCTCTTGCTGGGTGTTGAAAAACACTGATGTTCTTTCTGGTGATTTTACAGCCAGCTACCTTATCAAGCTCTCTTATTAGTTAATATAATTTCCCAGTTGATATCTCCAGGACTGCTACTCCACTGACTCCACATCATGTAAATTTTTTTTAATTTTATTTTTTGGTACCGGGGATCGAACTCAGGTCCTTGCACCTGCGCAGCAGGCAGTGAAACCACTGAGCTAAATTCCCGGCCCAACATCATGTAAATTTTATTCCTTCCTTTCAGTTATTTTATTTCTCCTTTGGTGTCTTCTCTTCTTTTGTGGTTAAATGGTTTTCCCACCTTGGGTGTTGCTCATTGCTTACAAGAGGATTAGGATCGGCTGTTAGGCAATGCCCAGAGCCTGGCGGTGACACTCTTGTGGGTAATGATTACCTCATTCCTGCCACCTTGCAAACATTTAAATTGTTCATATCTCACTTAATATTCATTTAGCTTTTATCGTTGGCTAGACTTTAGGTTAAATCCCAGGTATACAGTATTGTACTGGAAGTCTTAGCCAGTGCAGTGAGACAAAAAAGAAAAAGTTCTAAACATTAGGATGAAATTACACAGGATGAAATGACACTGGTATTCTTCCCAGATAATGTAGTTACGTTAGAAGAAAGTCCCAATGACTAGGCCAAGAGTGATGCCAATGGTAAGTGTGTTCTGCAGAATTCTGAATACTTAGTTACTACATAAAATCAAATATGTTTCTGTTTACTGGCAGTAAATGGAAAATAAAATGAAATATTTTATTTATTATACCATAAAAGGTCAAATAACCAAGCATAACTTTAAAGAAATGTGCAAAAAACCATAACATGTTATTGAGGGAAATTCAAGAAGACCTAGGTAAGTGGAGAAATAAATAATAAATAAATACGTGTTCATGGATTAGAAGACTCAGTCACGTAAAGATATCATTTCTGCCCAGATTGGTATATAGATTCAGTGCAATACTAATCACAACCCATAGAATTTTTAGGGGAAATTGAAAAAAAATCAATGAGCTAATCATAACATGTATGTATGAATGAAATCAGCGAAGAGCAGCAAAGGTGGCCTTGAGGAGGAGGCAGGTGGCTGGCTGGGTGCCAGGCTCATCACCAAGATGCTGTGGTTAAGGGAGGAGCCAGGTTGGGGAGAGAGGGCCGGAAGGGGGAAAGTGAGACCTGGACTCAGGGTAAAAGTGCAGTCACTGGGCGATGAGGGGTAGCTGATGGACTGGAAGAGCTGAACTGAAATCCAGGAGGGAGAATCTGCCCTTTGTTCTGAATGTGCTCTTTTGACCCCACCCCAGTTTACTTATCAGCTAAAGCTACTCTGTTCTGAAATTCATCTGCTAAGTTTTACATTTTGGTTGCTGTGATTCAGTTCTAGAATTTCTTTTTGGTCTTCTTTCTGATCTGCTATGTTCTTTCCTATGGCTACTTGGTCTCTAATGAAATTCTGAATCCCGCCTTTTACCTTTCTGAGGCCTGTGAGCATATGGTTTTCAGGGCTGTGTGCAACCCATCTGAGGTCTGTTTCCTGCTGTCTCTGATGTCTGTTGATTGTCACTCAGGTTGTCTTGTCTCCTTGTGTGCCTGGCATCCTCTGGAGGGAATCGTGTTGAGTTCTGGCAGGCGCCAGAGGTACTAGGGATCTGGGCTCACCATGGCCTATCGGGATTGAGCCCAGCATCCATAGGCCTTGAGAGCTTTCTCCAGCCCAGTGGGAGCTTCTGTGAGGAGGGATTCGGTGGCAGCATCAGAGCCCATCACTGTGCAGACCTGGGCAGCACCGACAGTTATGATGCGACCTGTGTCTCCTCGTGAATAGCCAGAGGTTAAGGGCGTGGAAGTCTAAAGAGTTAAAATTGTGACAGTTGTCTTATGGTGTCTCAGGCAACAGATGCCAGAGTCTGTCCCCACTGGCACTTGCTGTGGGCACAGTGTACAGTGAGCAGTGTAGTTGCCTCCAGGTTGCCATGGCAGCCGGCATGGCCTGGCTGCTCTGCCCAGGGTGCCCTGCAGGACTGGGCTGCTGGGCTGAGATCTCCCTCTGTCTGTGATTTGTAACTCGTTACCCATTCTGCCCCCTGCCCTGGGAGAGCCCACTGTGGTTGGCACACCCAACACATAGTGCCTCTTGCTATGAAACTAGATCTTGTCTTTTCTTACCTCCCCCATACCTGCCACCAGCACCTTGGATGCCTTCCTCCATATCCTGAACACCCCTCCCCCACACCTGGGTGTCACCAGCACCCTGGACGCCCCACCCCCACACCTGGATGCCCCTCTCCCATACTCTGGACCTGGACCCCTCCCCGCTGGGACTCTACACACCACAGTCTCCTGGCCCATATGTCTCCCTGCCAGGCGGAGGACAGCTTGAGGGGAGACTGGTTTTTTCATCTGGCATCCTGAGATCTCTGCCTGGCACACAGTGGACTGCAAGTATTTGTTGAATTAATGAGTGATGACACTGTTAATTAGAGTTCCTTTGAGTTTAGGTTGCAGATTAGAATCTTTAGAAAGACGGTGCACTGCCCAATTTTTAATTATGAATGGATCGTGCGTGCAATCAGGGGCCATAATTACTGCGAGAACCTCAGCATCCTTTTCAGGACCCTTGGGGGTGCTCTGAGAAGGAAATCCAATTTGTTACTTTAAGTCCTCCCTTAATCACTTAATAACAGGATATTTGATATTAGGTTAATCTCCCTCTGTTCCGACCCATGCTCACGGTGCCACCGAAAGAATGTGGGGCTCCCAGGACCCTTGGGCATGTGTGGGTGCGGTGTGTGGAGGTATGAGTGTGTGTGTTGTTGAGGAGAGGGAAGGACCCAGGAGCCCTCACCCCGTGCACGCAGGTGCTAGGAAACGGTAGGTGCCCAGTTAAGGTATGAGCAGTGGAGCAGGGACAGCGACAGAGGGCCAAGAGGTGGCAGGGGTGGGGACGTGGGCCTGACGTTTGTGGGCTGCCTCCCATGTGAGAGTCTGAATTGCACCTGTGATGGGAAAGCCCATCCGGAGTGGCCCCCAGCAGGGTTTGGAAAGTGTCATTGTCATAGCAAAATGAAAGACTCGGAAATGCTGACCAGAAACACCCAGCAGCCCTCTCTGCTCTTCGGTGGAAAGTGAGTGACCTCGGCTTCCCACTGTCCTGACCTAGACCAGTGGGACACACGTTCCCGTGGTGCCATGCCTGCCCAGCCCGTGTGGGTGGGTGCAGAGTGGAGCCTGGCTGGCCCTGCCTGTGCCATGCGACTCGGAGCTGCTCAGACACGGGGTGTGCTGTGACAGGAACATGGCAGCCGCCAGATTGTTTTCAGCTCCGCTTACAGCACTCCCTTCTCTGTGGACTCCTTGATGAGGAGCCAGGCGAGTCTGCCCGTGGCTGGGGTGGCCTGGGGCAACCGTGGTGGCCCGAGCATCCTGGCTCGACCCCAGCACCGGCTGCTCATCCGTCTGGAGAAAGGAATGGAGTGCTGACCAAGGCCTGGGAATTGGAACCGAGGGGCCAGTGTGACGTGGAGCCCCCTTGAGAACGGCAAGACCGGCAAGACTGGTGCGAGGTGGAAAGAGGTTTTGTCCTGTCTTTGAATGTGGGGAAACTAATTCGACCATCTGGAGATGGGGAAGAGAAGTAAATTAAAATGCTCAGCCACAGCAAGCAGTGAAGCCTTAACAAAGACAAAAGGGAGGGTGTAAAACTCCCATTTTCCCTGCTCCTTCGCTGCAGGGTGTGTAGGAGGGGGTGATTTTTCTCTCATTTCCTCTGCAAGAATCTAGTTAGTTAATAATCTGAAACTATTTTGTCTCCCTCCTCTACTGTCATGCTAAATGGGTCTCTTGAAATTTAGGACTGGAATTCTCTTAGCAAATATTTAACTAGAGGAAAAAAAAAAAATCCCTGGCTCTCTCTGCTCCCCGGTCCCAATGCAAGTTGCAAATTAATAGACGTCAGGCCAATATTTGATCTGTTCCCAACTCATCACTAAACTAAAGAGAGGGTCCCCGGAAGGAACAGGGTGGTCCTCATGCCCTCACTGGGCGGTGCCCTGACTGGTAGAGGGGGCAGAGCAGGTGTTTGGCTCCGGGGCAGCATCAGGGCCTCCTCCAGCGCTCAGGGTGGGGTCACTGAGCTTTACCCTCTGAAGCCCAGAGGAACTCCAAGGGGTCTTTAGGTGAGAGGGCAACTGTCCCTGTGCAGAGTCGGGGCTGTCCCCAAAGAGTTGGTGGATTCCTAGGGCCCTCAGTGGTGTTTGGATTTCAGAAGAGGTCTCTGGACTCTGGCAGCTGCTTGAGAGTTCCTCAGTGGGGAGACCTTGAGTCACGAGAGGGGTGTCCCTTCTGTGTCCCCAGGCGCACAGGTGCTGTGCCCTTTATCCAGGGAGGAGGCGGGTTTGCAGTCCCTGCTGGGAGCCATGTGGACCACGTTTACAGTGCCCATTTCTGCCGCGGGCCTCCCTGGCTGCAGTCTTCCTCCTGCCCCTTCCTGGCCTGCTGGTCTGAGGGCCCTGGGTGTCCCTTCCTGCAGGTGGCCTGAGCGCCAGGGCACCCTGTGCCTGGAGCAGTGGATAGCATACTCTCTTACCTGGGAGGGGCTGTAGGTTCTGATGCTGCGGGTGCTGATCACCTTTGTTGTCACCTTTGCTCTTAAGTAGGTGCAAATGAGTGGTATTAGAAAGCCACACAGCTCCCTGTCCTCATTAAGCCTGTGCAGTTAATAATTATTCTGTCTGGAAAGTGTGGATATAAAGTAGCTGAATAGGCACAGGAAGGCTGCCAGCCTCACAGCACTGGGCAGAAACATTGCAGCTTGCATCCCTAATGCCGGTCTGTCTCAGGAACAGCTCTGAGTGTCCCTGGCCCCAACCCTCATCACTGTGATAGCGGAGTATTGCCTGTCTCCACACTGGAGTGAAATCAGCTAATAGATAATAAATGACAAAGCTCGATGAGGCTCTCGCCATCCCCCAGGATTGTCATTTGTCCTCCCATGAAGCCATTTGTCTCCATCTACGGATGAGGAAACTAAGGCAGGGGGTAGTTTAGGTAGCTTGCTCAAGGTCAGAGAGGAGGTGGGTGGCAGGATCTGAGATCCGGTGGGCAGCTGTTGTCCCCATCTCCCTGGGGGTCCCAGGCACCCCGTGCTTGAGCTCTCCTGGGTCCCACCCTGCCTCCTGGGCAGTGCCTGTCCCCCCTCTTCTGTCCACCCTGCCCTTCCTCAGCCTTGACTTCAGCCTCTCCTCTTGCTCCCTTCCCTCTCTCAGGGTGGCCTGGCCTGTTCCCGTAGCCACCAGACCTCTGTGTGCCTCGATCAGGCCCTGGGCACAGACCTGACAGCCAAGAGCCTGTCTCCACTGACTCGCAAAGATGCCTGGTTCCAGCTAGCGCCTGTGTAACAGCCATCCCCGACTCTGGCGTGAAGCACCAGCCACTCTGTTCTGCCTGCAGCCTGCGATTATGGGATTTAGAGCCCCTGCTGCGGTGACGGAAATGACAGGCAAACTTCAGTAGCTGGGCAGGTCACCTGGAGCAGGAGTTGGTGACCTTTGAGCTGCCTGTTCTCCTAAATAACACCCTCTCCATCACCTGCTCCCGTGTCACCTGCATAGCCTCAACTGCTGTTTCCTACTTGGCCCTGTACGGTATCCTAGGCCCTGGTCTCCTGTCTCTTGGGCTCGTGTGTCTGGGCCATGGGCAGGGTGACTGAGGGCTGGGCTGGCCCAGAGCTCCCACAGCCCCCTGGGCGCTGGGCCTCCTAAGGCCTGGCTGCTGTTTTCCAGGGGGAGTGTCTGGGAGCCACTGTTGGGAGAGCCAGGTGGATGCCACGGGGCCCCGTCTGGCCCAACTTGGGGGTCCCACAGCGACACGGAGCCTAAACTCCCTTGGTGGGACCCTCTCCAGGATCTCCCAGGTCTCACCTGTTGGCAGGTGGTTGTTAAAGCATTTGTGACCATTCTTTAAATCCCTATGTCCATCCCAGACAGGTGGGTGACCCTGCCTCCCTCCTGAGTTTGCTGTCTTGGTGATAGAGTCCCCTTCAGGCCGAGACCTTGACCCTGCTCCTCCCTCCGATCCAGCATTGTCCAATCCATGCTCTCTTTCATTTAAAGAAGTTTATTGTTTGGAAATAATTCAAATAAATGAACTCACATACCCTGGACACCCGTGTGGTGCAAATGATGACATCAACGTGTGTGGCTGCACCTGGGACACGCTGCAGAGCCCTCCCAGTGCTCTGAGAACCAAAACATAAGTTTTTCAGAAATTCGTTTGGCCACAGAACATGATCCAAAGCGAAGAGACCGTTTACGGTTGTTACTGGCTGTGGTGTAGCCTCCCTGGTGTTGCTGCAGGAAGGTGTGCATGGGGCCTGGGCCCTGTCCTTGTGTTAGGAGGTCCATGTCCCCTGCTTCTGTTCTGAGTTCCAGGAAGTACAAATTCCTCAACCACCTGGTCACATGGGTTGCAGAGGGATGACTCCCCATCTGTCTCAATGGCTGGATGAAGAGCCTAGTGGAGGGGGATTGGGGCCCGGGACCTCCTGTGCCTCCCGCGGTCCCCGGGTGCCTGGCCAGCAGCAGCTACTTCTGAGCAGGAGTGAGTGCGACACTCATGGGCTGGGTGCAGCTGGTTGGCATATGGCTGTCCCTTGGCAGGTGCTCAGGAGACACCTTGTCACGTTGCCTGGCATCATTCGGCTCAGGATGAGGCATTCGTTCTCTAAGTCCATATTGTAGTTTAATCTTTGCCTGGCGGGACTTGGCCCGGCTTCCTGGGGCAAGGATGGGAAGAGTGCCTCTGGATGGTTCCCCACTGGCCCAGCCAGTGCCACCCTTGGGGCCCAGCTGGCACGGGGAAGCCCTGGATGGTGCTGCCAGGAGGTGCCTGGCCAGCCTGGCAGCAGCCAAGTTCTGGGGCAGGAGTCCCAGGTCCAGGTTCTGCCCAGGCTCCTCGTGTTCCTTGAGAATCTCAAGAGATCCAGAGCATTTGTGTTGTTTCCCAGGGGAGGGGTGGAGAGGGGTGCAGACCTTGGCCAGTGTCCGAGAACCAGCTTGGTCGTCACTGTCTGCATTGGGGACAGGGTGGGCCATTGGCACCCAGGGGTCCAGGCCAGGGATGCTGTGGCGAGACAGCCCCCAGGTAGCATCCTGGGGTCACAGTGCTGTGTGGAGACCCTGCCCTACCCTAGAGCCAGGGGCTCTCCCTGCCTGTGCTCCCCTCCAGAGACCCTAGCATGGCCTTGGTCTTGGGTTTTCGATCACCAGCCGTCCCCAAGTGTGGCATTTGATGTGGTGAGACACTGAGACTCCTTCAGCAGATGGATGCCGGCATATTGTCCGTGAACACCTGAAACAGGAAAGCAGGAACCACAAAAGGCCCCGGCGAAACTCTCTGTGTGACCTCTGGCAGCCTGTGGCATCTGACAGGTCTACACTGTGGGCCGGGGAACCCACAGGTGAATCCACAGGGGCAGGGGTTCTTGCACAGTACGCAGTTTGCAGCACGAGCAGACCGCCGTGGTGGCGGCAGCGGTGGCAGCTTCCCTCAGCAGGAGCTCAGCGTTTTCACCGTGAATGAGTCTGGCAATTCCAAGGCTGGCAGGCAGACAGCTTTCTGGCTCTGGTGCCTTTTCGTTTTCTTTTAGGTCTGTTTTGCAGTCCTATGGATTGAACCCAGGGCCTTCCCACATAGCTGTGTACCCAGCGCTTTTTTATGTTTTATTTTGACAAGGTCTCACTGAGTCACTGAGGAGCCCAGGCTGGGGTGAAACTTATATCCTCCCGCCTCATTCTCCAAAAGTGCTGGGATCACATGTGTGTGCCACCCTGCCCAGCTGGCTTCCCAGCTTTTGAAGGAGAAGGTGGCATTGCCCTTCACAACCGTCTGTCTCCTCTGACTTCGTTCATCAGCTGGGTGTTAGGGAACTCGTTCTTAAAATGCTTTTTAAAAAATGGTTTTCTTGGGCGGGGGATTTAGCTCAGTGGTTTTGCCGCCACCTGCTGCACAAGCACAAGGACCCAAGTTCGATCCCCAATACCAAAAAAAAAAAATGGTTTTCTCTTGGGCCGGGGATTTAGCTCAGCGGCTATGCCGCCTGCCTTGCAAGTGCAGGGTCCCGAGTTCAATCCCTGGTACCAAAAAATAAATAAATAAATAAATAAATAAATAAATAAATAAATATAAATGGTTTTCTCCTTTTGAATAAGCTAACGGAAAAAAAGAAACACATTTTTATTAAGAATCACAATCTTGTCTCTTTTTTTCCTTTTTTAAAATGGAGATGACAATCCCATAAGATAAAATTAACATTTGAAGTGAATGATTCAGTAGCATTCAGTACATTCACAGGCCTGGTGCAGCCACCACCTTTGTCTGTTCTAAAGCATTGGTGTCCCAGGAACCAGCTCTGGTTTGGCCCCCTCTGCCCTTTGCCCTTGGCTGCTCGCAGTTTGGTTCCTGCCTCTGGATTTGTCCGTACATCTCATAGGGTCACGTGGTTGAGTAATGTCCCATGGTGCACCGGGGCCATACTTTGTTTATTCATCTGCTGATAGACGTGTGGGTTTCTACCTTTTGGCTGCCACGAATGCTGCTGCTGGTCCATTATGTACGAATTTTTATGACCACATCTTCAGTTCTTTTCAGTTGCACGTAGGAGTGGAATTCTGGGTCCTATGTGAATTCTATGTTTAGCTTTTGGAGAAGCTGATCCTTTACTCTTAATGAAGAGGCTTTTCAGAGAGGCATTTTTGTCTTGAAGAATCCAACCTGAATGCTTGAAGGGACTGTGTCCCCAAGTCCCTGAGCAGATAAGGGGGTGGGGACCGCCTGTGGCCGTCCGCTGTGTTCTCAGGGTGGGGCAGCCCATGGGGCAGTCTCTGGCCTGCTGGGTCTGTGGGAGGCTCGAGGGGGTAGCAGTGAGCAGGCGGTCCTGGCCCTGTCAGAAGTCACCGTCACCTTCCAGCAGCTGGGTAGGGGTTGTTATCTTGATTTTTGTGCTGGGAATGGAATGCAGGGCCCCACACTTGCTAGCTACACATGTGTTCTACCACTGAGCTATGGCCCCTGCCTTTGTTTATTTTTTATTTCGAGACAGCTCTCACTAAGTTGCCCAAGTAAGACTCAAACTTGCCATCTTCCTGACTCAGCCTCTGGAATAGGTGGGATTACAGGCCTGCACCCCCCCACTGGGCAGGAGTTGTTGTCCTAACCTCGGCAGGGGGGCACCACAGCAAGCTTTCTAGGTGTGAAGTGCTTGTTTTCACAGTGTCTGGCGTGGGCTGTAACAGCTGCTGGGCTCAGGCTGGGGGCTGGGAGAGACCCCTGGCAGGGAAACACCAGGTGGCCCCCGTGGAACTTGGTGCTGAGGCCAGGCTGCCCCCTCTGAGGGGACAAGTGCAAAGATGGGCACAGGTGGAGGAGTGGCCCGGGGTGCAGCAGGGATGCCTGGAATTGATGTAAGTGCAAGAAGTGACCAGACAGAGCCATTGTGACCCTGAGCCTGGGGCAGGAGTGTGACTGTCCCCCCAGAATAGGTCACTAGAGGAGGCTCCGGGGCTGGGGCCTGAGCCAGGGAGAGCAGGGGTGTTGCTGGCTGCCTGAGCCCCACCACATGGCCTCACTCCACCCCCTTGCAGCTGCAGCAGTGGTGGAAATTTCAGGTGTGGACCTGGGTCCAGATGAGGAGTCCCCAAGGCAGAGGCTGCCCAGCTGGGGCACGGTGGGCAGGGTGAAGGGGAGTTGGCGCTACCCTCTGTACCCTCTGGCACCAGGCAGAGCCCTGTGGCCCCTTTGGCACTGGCAGCTTGGCCACAGGGTGAACACGATTTGTCTCAGACCCAATGAGAGTGGCCTGGCTGTTACACAGCACCTGGTGTGCCAGAGACACTGAGTCAGGTGTAGCTTCCGGTCCTGCATCCTCCTCCTTGTGGGTGGGACAGGAGTGGAGAAGCAGTGTTCTCGCCCACCAGTATGCCCGTGCCTGACTGGAGTGTTCACCCCACCTGCACACTCCTGGCGCCCTGAGTGTGTGACAGGAACCCAGACCCAGGAGATGTGGGTTCGAATTCAGCCTTTGTTATCCAGAAAAGAGGAAGCCAGAAGCCAAATGTCACACCTGTCTCTGGCTTCAGACTGGCCTGAGAAACCGTGCCTGTCCTGTGGAGGAAAAACTCTCATCAGCATAGTCGCCTGGCTTTGAAGGGAGGCGACCGGGAGTCCTCCCTGCCTGGGTCGTGAAAGGCTGGCCAGGACCTGCGGGGCCAGGAGCCCTTGAGGCGCCAGCAGTGGGGGGACCTCACACCCCACCTCTAAGGCTCTGGCCCCTGCACGTTCCACATTCCCCCTGCCCTGGATTGAATGGTGTCCCCCAAATTCAGATCCACGTGGAGCCCCAGAGTGAAATGTTGTTTGGACAGGACATAGGGACCTTGTAGATCTTGTCAAAGTGAGCGTTGTGGTGACGTGGTGCTGGCTTTGGAGGCACCCTCATCTGCATCTGGTGTCCTTTTAAGGAGAACAAACAGACACAGAGACACCATGTGACCCAGAGGCAGAGGTGGGAGGGATGTGTCTGCAGGCCAAGGATGACAGGGACAGCGAGCCAGCGGGTGATACCAAGCCCAGGGGAGAGGAGGGGACAATCCTGCCTCGGGCCCTCAGTGGGAACCGGCCTGGCCGACTTTGGGCTCTGGTCTCCTGGCCCCAGAACCAAAAGGCCAAATAAATGCCTATTGTAAGCACTCAATGTGACTGTCATGGCAGCCTCAGGAGACCCGAACCCTCCTTCATGAGCTGCCTTGTCTGCTGCAAACTCCCGCCATCCTGGGGCTCCACCTCCCACTGCCTTCGGGGTGGCCCAGCGCTGGGAGCACTGTCCCTACCCCAGGTCATCTGCAACCAGGTCTCTGCACTGCAGCTGTTTCCTGTCACTTTTGCGCTAGGGCCACCAGCTCCTTGCAGAACATGGCGTGAACTCTGTCCTGTGTCCCGAGGCGGGGCCTCACTGAGTGCACAGTCCTGGCTGCCCCTTACCTCCATTTCCGGTCCTACCACACATCCGAGGGTCACACATGCCCCACCCTGTCGAGACCTAGGGTGGAACAGAGCCCCTGCTGTGCCTATCCCCCAGACACCTGCTCTGCCATCGGTGTCACCTGCTTCTCACTGTCTCGGAGACAGTGTGGGGACTCATCTTTCCCGAGGAGGCCAGTGGCTCTGTCTTTGGCCTGGTTTTGAGTGCTGCAGAGCTGTGGGGGCCACTGGTCCCTGGTAGCATCCTCGCGGCCTTGGAAGATACCCCTGAACGCAGGAAGGTCACAAGCCACACTGCCCCTAGTGACATCCAGTTGCACGGGCTTTTGCGGCTTCTCTGTGTGACCCATGCTCCTTTGGAAGCTAACACATGGAGGGAGGTGTCGGGAGGAAGCATAGAGCCCCTTCCTGTTCCTCTGAAGACCTGAGCAGTGCCCCTCAGACTTCTGCAGACACGGAGAGTGGTGGCCAGTGTCACCTGGAAAGGAGAAGGACAGTGGGAGAAACTGAGGCAGGTGAGCTGGGAGTGGGCTTTGAAGAGTAAGTGTCAGCATTCAGTGCCCCACAAGGGTGCAGTCCTGTTCATAAGACGGACCCTGGGTGTGTGGTCTGTGGGACCCTCCACTCTCTTCACAAGTTTTCTGTAAATCTGAAGCTGTTCTGAAGTAAAAGGTTTATTTTTAAAAAACAAAACCACTGATGGCTGGGCGTAGTGGCAAGTTCCTGTAGTCACAGTGCTCCGGGAGACTGGGGCAGGAGGATCGAAAGTTGGAGCCCAGCCTGTGCGACTCAGTGAGACTCTGTCTCAGAATCAAAACTTAAAAAATGACTGGGGTTGGAGCCCAGCTCAGGAGGCAGAACTTCCGGTTCTCCTGATGCCTGGACTGGGAATCCACCTGTCTCTTCTGCCACACTGTGGAACAAAGCGTTCTCAGGTCTCAGTACAAAGACTCTGGATTCAATCCCCCGACCCATGAATAAATAAGTAAATAAAGATAAAACAAGATCATTGGTGCAGACAGAATCACGGTCGACACTGAAGAGAATGTGCCGATAGCCCTGTGTGCCGATAGCTCTCTGGGCTTCTGTGCAAGTGTTTGTTTGCTTTGTGTGAAAGTGTTATTTTTTCCTTCTAATGCTGTGTTATCTGAATCTGTCCCATAACAGCGGTAGGTTGCCATTGTCCTGCCCTGTGTGGTGTTGACACACTGGCAGGCTGTGCTTTATGTCAGCAGGGCCTCAGTTGCTGCTTGGGTCTGTGTCCCGAAGGACAGGAACATAGAAAGTTGGTTCAGAAACCACCCCAGCCGACTGCAGCTAATGCAGATTCATCGTCAACTGGAACCTGGGGTCCAGGACAATCCTGGTCTTGAGAAACATTCATGTGGGGTCACTTGCAGGGCACGTTCTGTGTTTTCTAGCACAGTGTTGGATTATATTTAATGCTGTTTTCTGGTCACATCATTGCTTTGTCTCTGCACGAGCATATGCATTTCTAGGATGTAGCTCCTTGAAAGGAAAGCTAGCTCCAGCTCCTCTGGGCTGCCCACGGGAGGGCTGGGTCCTGGGGACCCCCAGTGTACCCCAAGAAGGCCTGGGGTTTAGCTTAGAATCAGTACAGCCTTTGCATCTGAGGTCAGAACAGATAATTGCATGTGTGGTTTAAGATAAAAAGATGATGGGCCAGGGATTTAGCTCAGTGGCACCATGCCTGCCTTGCAAGTGCAAGGTTCTGAGTTCGATCCCTGGTACCAAAAAAAAAAAAAAAGATAAAAGGATGTTTAAGAACGTTTTATAGCAGTTGCCACCAGGAAGCACACAGCATCCTATGTGCACTATTGTGCACATGGATTTTCGCAAAGAAAAACCAAACAACTACCAAAAAAAGTAGCTTGTGTGGGAAAAGTCTCGATGTCGCTTGTGTGGTGTGGGGGGGAAGTCGCCATGGGCACCTCCATCCTCCCCCTTCCCACCTCTCCCTTCCACAAATGTTTACCCAGCAGCTGCTGAGTGCCAGGAGCCAGTCCAGGTGGGACCAGCGCAGCAAGAACCAGACCCGCAGGTTCTCAGTCCTCCGGGACTTGGGGCAGAGACAGGTAGAAACATGAGAGTGAGGTCCCATCACGCAGCTCTGTGCAGGAACTGAAGTGAGTTTGTTGATGGCTCATCCCTGTGTCATGCGTGCTGGGTCCTCACTGCAAGAGCCAGCAAGGACAGCCTTGGACCACAGTGAGCTGGGGCTCTGGACCAGAGTACCTTGTTTTCTTCTGTGTGGCTTCCTCCAAGTGGCCTCCGGGGAACCAAGAGGAGGAAGCAGGCAGAACTTCTGGGAATCCACTTGTCTCTTCTGCCACACTGTAGGACACAGCAGTCTCGGGTCCCGCTCTTGGGTGAGGGACGGGAATAAATGCCACCTCTGGATGGGTGTGGCCTGAGTGCCAGGGAAGGAAGGGGCAGCCATCCTTGAGGTTGGCACCGCAGCATCCTTGGCTCGTTAAGTTTTCCGTTTGTGCTTCCTCATTCCTCACGGTGACCACTTGCCCATGGCTCTCACCCTGTTTCTGGGAGGCTGTGGACAGAGGGTGAGCCTGAGGTTCAACTGGGGCCCTCCCAGGTCAGGGCTGTGCACACACTGCTTTCTGTTCATCGCTCAGCCTTGCAGTTCGTACAAGGACCCAGGAACCCCTGTGTGGAGTGCTGGGTACATGGCTTGGTCTCTCTAAGTGACAGGGGAGCTGGCCACATGCTTGGGGTGTGGCACGTGGCCTCCCTCCTTCTGCATTTGCCCCATCTGCTGAATGGGTGGTGGAATCCCAGACTGGCTGTGATGACTGGAGTACCCAGCTGTGCAGAGGTGGTGTTTCTTCATGGTGTGGCCAAGTGAGGTGATTTGAGGTCCCTCCTGGGAATGCCCATGGCTCTCTCTGGGTGTGGGAGGGGAGTGGCCTCAGGATCAGGAGCTTCTGCTGCCCCCAGGGCTCTGTGCATCCTGGGTCACCTTGTCAGGGCCCTGCTGCACGGACAAGACAAGGTGGCTTCCAGGTTTTGTCACCTGACAGTATCCTCTAAATGGTCCCCAAACTTTTTCACCGCTTCCCAGAAACAAGTGGAGAGAGGGTCCTGGGCAGGACCCTGAGGGCCACAGGTGGTCTTTGCCTGCAGGGGGCTCAGCCCTGCGGAAGCTGGGGTAGAAGGGGGCACAGGCAGGTAGCTGTGTGGGGCAGCATGGGGCAGTGGGCCGAGCCATGCCCGGAGGGAGGCAGCCGTGGCAGGTGCCTCTCAGGTCTGAGGCAGGTGCAGCCTTCTGAGCAGGGGTCTAAAAGGCAGATGAGGGCACCGGGGCAGGGAGCCCTGGGCTGAGGCAGGGTGGTCGCTGTGGTTTGGGGTCCCCAAGGGCCACTTGAAGAGAGGGCTGGGAGGGGGGTCGTGCTAGGAGACCAGGTGAGCGTCAGAGACAGGAGGGGGACTGGTGCCATGACTCCCCAGACATCTGAGTGACCTCACTGTCCTTGTGTCCCACAGACGGCATCCATAGTGTCACAGCCCTGTGCACCCTGCGTGTCACCATCATCACGGATGACATGCTGACCAACAGCATCACTGTGCGCCTGGAGAACATGTCTCAGGAGAAGTTCCTCTCCCCGCTGCTGTCCCTGTTTGTGGAAGGGGTGGCCACGGTGCTGTCCACTACCAAGGACGACATCTTCGTCTTCAACATCCAGAACGACACGGACGTCAGCTCTAACATCCTGAACGTGACCTTCTCTGCGCTGCTGCCCGGTGGTGTGCGTGGTCGCTTCTTCCCGTCTGAGGACCTGCAGGAGCAGATCTACCTGAACCGCACGCTGCTCACCACCATCTCTGCCCAGCGAGTGCTGCCCTTCGATGACAACATCTGCCTGCGTGAGCCCTGTGAGAACTACATGAAGTGCGTGTCCGTGCTGCGCTTCGACAGCTCGGCGCCCTTCATCAGCTCCACCACCGTGCTCTTCCGGCCCATCCACCCCATCACCGGCCTGCGCTGCCGCTGCCCGCCTGGCTTCACAGGCGACTACTGTGAGACCGAGATTGACCTCTGCTACTCCAGCCCCTGTGGCCCGAACGGTCGCTGCCTCAGCCGTGAGGGTGGCTACACCTGCGAGTGCCTGGAGGACTTCACGGGTAGGTGCTGCAGGTGTGGCGGGCTGGGCGAGGGCAGCTGCACTTTGCACAGCCGGCCCTGGTCCCCAGTGGGAGGAGCTCCTGTGGGCACCTCTGTCCATTCCCCCCGAGGACGGGGGCAGAGGATGGGAGCAGGGCCAGGTCAGCTCGGTGCACCTTGAGCCTGTCTTGGAAGCGGTGCTTTCTGGAGGCAGCAGATGCCTGGAAAGGCTTCTTCCTGCTGGTCCCTGCAGACTTAAGTTCCTGCTTTATGAGGACATCCGGTAAAGGCTGCAGTGACCCCACCTGAGATAACCTGGGTGGACAGAGGCCATGCCCTAGTATAAGTGGTTTTAAAATTAAAGTACTTTATTCCCGATTTCATAAAGTACTTTTTTCTTTTTGCAGTAATGGGGAGCACTGAGCTACACCCCCAGCCCCACCCCACCCTCTTTTCTACTGAGTTGCCCAGGCTGCCCTTGAACTTGGTCCCTCCTGTTTCAGCCTCCTGAGTAGCTGGGCTTGCAAGTGTGCACTGTCGTGGCAGCCTAAGTAACAGCGCTTTATTCCAGATTTTAGGTATAACTAGTTGGTGCACAACAGTGGAGCAGGGGTAATAATCCTAAACTGTTAATCATTTGGGTTCCGAAAGGTGTTGTCGGTCATTTTCATGCCTCATTGTCACTGTAGAAAGTGACTCACCTTCCTGCCTCTGAAGGCGAACTTCCTGGGATATGTCCTGACTCATCGAAAAGATAAATCATTTCTAATGCAGCCAATGGTTGCTTTTTAAAAGTAAAGCGCCAACCCAAAAGCAGTTCCAAAACGCACACTCTCCCCTTCTCAGCCGAAAATCTTGCTGTGGGCTTTGATTGCCTGTTACGTAGAATTAAGGCCCATTTGAAAACCAAGTTCACAGTGGTCCCAGTGGAAATCAGTGTCTTTTTGGAAAGCTCCCTGGGGATTAGAGGCGGCTTGATTTGTACCAGAGATGGCTTTGAGCTCCTTCTGTGGACTGTGTCCGTGATTAATGAGTTCAGTCTGATACCTAAGGAATCATTACCCTCCGGGGGTTTGATCCAGCACGTACACCACTTTCCGAAGCTTACGGTGAGGGCTGGAGGTATTAGCAGGTACTTAGGGAGTACCTGTCTTGCCGAGTGTTGATCCTGAGTTCCCAGTGTGGCTGTTGTCAGGAAGGAGGGAAGGCAGAGGTATAGGAGACCACGCAGCCCACACCTGAGGGCTCCTCAGGGCTTCCTCTCCTGAACCCCTCCCTGGGCTACTCTTGGTAGGGGCTGTTCCATGCTGCCCTCCTACCCTTCTGCCCCAAATCTTTGAGCTGGCGTCTGCGCCTCTTCCGCAGTGCCCTCTGGGATGCACCAGCCAGCCTGTCTGGGCAGCCCTAGGGAGCAGCACCGTCCCCAGAAATTCCTGTCACATGACTGGATGAGAAGTGCTTCCCCGATCTCCTGCTTCAGAGGAAGCAGCCGAGGCCACCGTCCCAGAACACAGACTCAGCAAGTGTGCAGCCTTCCTTCATGCTGCATAATTTATTGAGTGCCTGCTGTATGCCAGGGCAGTGTACACAGCCAGATCTCACGTTCCCTGTTTGGGTGGGTGACCCAAGTTAATCTGTGCAGTTGGACCCCGACACCCCCCCGCCAGCTGTGAGGTGGCATCTAAACTGGCAGCCTTGAAACCAGGCATTGGCCTGGGGCCATGAAAGTCCAGGCTGCCCTTGAACTTGGGCTCTCCTGCCCCAGCCTATTAGAGACCAGCAAGGTGGGGTGAGCTCAGGCCTAGCCTGGGGCAGGGCGAGCCACAGCCACTAGGGACTGGACCCTCACATAGCATGCCCTCCTAAGACAGGTTGACCCATGGGGGAATCAGTTGACTTCTGAAGCTCTCCAATTTCCCTTTCATTGTGAGGGTCATTTTTAGAAGACTAATGACTAGGGAGGGTCCTGGATGTCATCGCCAGTAGGAGCATGGAGACACTGATTGGCAGGAGACTAATTTGAATCTCTTTGGCTACTGAGAGCATCCTATGAGTCTCCCTGCAGATAAGCCTAATTAAGACTGATTCTTTTTCCTGCATGCTCGTCCTCCTTCTCTCCCTTTTCTGCCTTTCAAGCAAGGTCCCTCTGTGTGGAGGTAATTGCGCTCATTTACTCACGATGACAGTCCCGCTGTCGTCATGCGGCTTTCATTACCGCTCCCTGGTAAGCTGAGCTCCAGGCCTTGCGGGTGCAGGGTTGGAATTGTCCCAAGCAGCGCTGGGCCCCTTGGCTTCCTGGGCTGCAGGACAGGAGACCTGGCAGGAGCCAGCAGAGGAAGACACGAATTAATCTCGAGAATTTGACACTGGATAAAGTTTGGCGACCTTCCCTTTGTGTGTCTGGATCCACCTTGGCCTTAGATGCTCGCAGCCCCGGGGCACGGGACCGCTGGTCTTTGCAGGGTGAAGAAGAGGGCTACCGGCCCCAATCTGAGAGGGATGGGGAGAGAGAGCTGCTCTCCCAGTTTCTCAGCCTGCGAATGTCCCAGAATAACCTGTTTTCCTCTCTCCTCACCCCTCTCACTCTCTAAACATTGCGGTTTTTGTTAAGGTCCGTGAGGATGTGGCCCTGGGCTCCCAGTGGGGATGCGGCCTTCCTTTTTCCTGTCTCCTGGCTTCCTCCTCTGCGTCCTTCTGTCTGAAGCATGTTCCCTCCCAGCCACCTGTCTGTCAGGTGCCCCCCATCAACATCTGCCCCGGTTGCTGTCCCCCGCTCTGGGAAGGGTCTGCAAGGCTTCTGTACCAGTGGTGTGTGTGGGTTTCCTCCTGTGGAGCTGCCCAAGTGCCTTGTTTATTCCTTGCTCCGCTCACAGGGGTGAGGTTCCCTGGCCTCCAGGTCACCGTGCCTTGGACGACGGTGACTTGCTGAAAGGGTTTACTGAGCGTGTCACTGAGCTGGTTGGTCACCGGTTGAGATGATGCTGCCTGTACAGTCTCACTCAGTTCTCACGTTGGCTCTGTGGCCCCATTTTATAAATGGAGTTGCAGCACAGAACATGAAAGCATTTTTCTGAGCGGCTCTCAGCCAGGGGTGATTTTGCCTCTCAGGGGACATAGGACAATTTCCAAAGATGGCTTTGGTTGTCACAGCTGGGGGAGCAGAGCTACAAGGTGCTGCTCAGCATTCTTCAGCGCACAGGATGGTCCCCACTACAAAGGCCCGGTTCCGCATGTCTGTGAGCCGTGTGAACCCTGGTGGTTCCTCCCTCTCTTCGGAACTGGATGCCCTGTGAGGGCAGGTGCCGGGATCTTCTGTCCACCAGTGCGTCCGCACAGCCAGTGTGGTGCAGGCACACGGTAGGCATGTGGGTGGGTGGATTCAGCATACAGCAGGCACTACGTGCGAGTGTGTGGCACACATTAGGCACGGTGTGCGGATGAATGGTGCATACAGCAGGCACTGTGTATGGTGCCCACAGTAGGTTCTGTGTGCAGACGAGACTATCAGGAAAGCTGCCCCTTCCCACATGGGCCAGAGTGCATCCATGAGGCCAGCCATGGGTCCTGTGCTGCGGTCAGAGCGTCAGCTTTTCGGCTTCAATACTGACCTGGAAGGGACAGAGCCCCTGGCTGGCTTCTGAGTCCCTTCCCAGGATGCTGAGTACCCTGTGACTGGTGCAGATGTGCAGGTGCCCAGGCCTGCGGCAATGAACAGGAACACCCACTTCCCGTGTCCTGCATTCCTGTGAGGCTGTCCCCTCTCCCTGTCCGCTTCACAGTGTCCTGGAACAGGTGACTGACTGCTCTGGACTGAAGTCTCCCATGGGTATACCCCTGAGTGGCAGCTTCCTGCCGCTATTGAGGGGCTCTGCTGTAAGCTCAGTTCAGCTGTGTTTGGGTCCAGGAGGAAGACATGGGCCAGTGTGTCACTGTCCTTCCTGAGTCTGGGCACCCCCATCCCGGGGGCTCCTGGGCTTGGTCTTCTCTGTTAAGGTTAAGTTTATCCTTGACCTCTGCGTGTGGGACCCCTGGGCCCTGTGTCTACATTTCAGAAAATCACACCAGTGGTCCATCCTCATGTGGCTGAGGAGCATGGTGCCCGTGGCTATCCCTAGGCTCCACACACCCAGGATGCCTGGTCTGTGAGCGTGGCCAGGTGCTTCCTGAGGTGGGTTTTCCTGGGGTGGGTCAGTGCCTGGGAGACTTTCAATGGTGCTGGCTTTGTGGTCAGCACCAACTGTCCAGGGCTAGAGGCAGGTTTGAGGCCAGAGCAGTGTTTGGTGTAAAAATTGAATCACCTGTCTGCTTGCAGAGAATTTTTTAGGATAAATTCTGGCTTTCTCTGATCCTGTTGTTAATGCAGACAGGGCTCTAACTCTGCATTCTTTCTCGGATTCACTTAGCAGAGCGGTGGCGTTTCTATCACCTGGCAATACCTTAATGCACAAAACAACCCCGAACCCAGATCCTGCACTTCCCTGTGCATTTGCAGAGGTTTCGCTCCATCTGTGCTGAGCTGTGTCCCGTGGTCCTGTGGAGCGATGTCCCCTGAGCACAGAAGAGATGCTGCTGGCCAGTGCAACCCACGTCAGGATTGCAGTCAGTAGAGTATTCAAGCAAAGCTGAACTTAGTCTTTAAACCCAAGAGTTAATTATCACTAACGTGAAAATCATTACATGGCCTGCAATTAAAACCTCAAACAAAGCAGGAGCAGCATCCTTCCCCAGGAAAATGCGCTTCTCAGATATCCGGATTGCTCAGCCTTTCTCTCTTCTTGGCCCCACTCGTGTCTGTTGCTGTGGGGGGACTGACTCCGAATGGCTGGACGTTGTTGTGTATCTGGGTGACTTTGTTTCCTTCTAAACCACGTGCCCCAGGAGTAAGGCTGGGGAGTCACCTTTTAGGGGCCACTTTAGCTCATGAACAGTGGCTCATTGAAGTGGGGAAGGTCGAGAACAGTGCCCTGCCTGGGACACAGTGTCCTCAAGTGGGGACTGGGGTGGCCTGAGCGGCAGGGGG